GGGTATAGGGTTTAGGGTTTATATAGGGTATAACTTATATATTGGCTTTAATGACCTCTACATTGCAGCGTTTTGGTTATCCGCATGAAAAGCAAGAAGGAACGGGAAGGCTCCGCGGCTTCAGGTTGAGGCTTGCCACTTTGTGTGGGCAGCCAACAACACTGTACACAAACCCCAGATACCAATCTAGAGGCCTTGACAACTGGTAACAACATCCCTTCACATTTCCTGTCTAACTACAAAGAGCCACTAAGACACCATACTACACCTTGAGCCCCATGCCAGCAGAACGAGCCTGGTCAGTTGCACGATTCCAGCCACCCGGATCAAACAAGTGATCCGACAACATGAATCCCAGGTGTAATCGCAGCTGTCGCAGCTACTCTACTCCACAATGCTCGTCATGGTTTTGCATGACCAGCAGAAGTGTTCGTGACTTTACCCAAGAGCTGCCAAGTCGGGACACTCAGAAAACACTCTTAGGTCTCTGCGTCCGTAATGGGCCGCCTGGGAGAGTTGGAAGTTTTGCTTGAAGATTTCTTCCCCAGGGATCTTGAATTTTCGATCGTTGTGGCTTCACTGTCTAGGTGTTCATGGCATAGGCCTGAGTGTACGCTTTACGCCAGACCGCCGAGAGGCTCACGGCTGGGGGCTGTTGCTGGACATGGATGGAGTGGTGTTCGATGTTGAGGGTGTAGGGTGTTGTCTTGCATCTTGCTTAATGCTCTTTTCCATCTGCGCTGAATTGGGCTTTGGGTTCAGGCTTGAAGAGACAGAGAAAGACAGGGAGAGAGAGGGGGAGGCAAAGAGCATTTACGGCCACCGGATACACTACAATCCGCCATACCCAAGCAAAAGCCCGAATTCAGAGAAGCCCACAAACCTCAAGAGCCGAACTTGAAAACCCAGGAGCCCTCAACCGCCCAATCCTCAACTCTTAAACCCTAAACCCCAAGAACGAAACCTTACCAAACCCCAATCCTCAACTCCAAAAACCCCTGGGCCTGATCCCTTGAGCCCAACTCGCTGACTGCAGCTCAGGCACAGATAGTCCAGCGACGGGCTGAGTTGGGTACCGGCCTCCTGCAAGGCCCGAGTGATCTTCGGGTTTAGGGTTTAGGGTTTGGGGTTTAGGGTTTAGCGTTTTGGGTTTAGGGTTTAGGGTGGATTTAAGTTACCATACTCAGGATATCCTACTATTTACTATAGGCCCTATATTATGGTAGAAGTTAGGAAGAACACCGTCTAGCGCAGGAGCCTGCTTACGACATGCCTGGTTCTAAACCTGAGCAACACTAGGATCAAGTCGGATTCACAAGAAAACCTCATGAGAACCAGGGGTCGGGACAAGACAAAACTCGTTCAGTGCAGGGGTGCAAGTTCTGGGGGTTTTGGTGGTTAGGGCTTCGAGAGATTGCGGCTTCAGGATTCTCGGGGTTTGGGTTTAAGGCCTCGAGATGATTGAAGGCCTAACTTTAGGGAAAAGGCGGTCCGTAAAGGCTTAGGGCGGCAGCTAATTGCATAAAAACGGTCCTATGTGCTGTTTCGCAGCATGTGAAACCGGGGGGAAGGCCGATGCACGACAGTGTGGCTTCCCTCAAACCACATCAGACACAAAGAAGGTTCACAGAGACGTCAGGCGTCGAACAACTCAGGTTGGGTTGTGAAGTGCCCACAGCTTGAAGTCAGGGAAGCAACATGGCTACTTTACCCTCAACCCTGGACACTAAACCTCGGTTTGGCTAGATGACACCGAACTGCGGGATTCAGTGTCTCAACTCGCACAACCTTCAGCTCCCTATCGCAACCACGACAACTCGGATACAAGGGGAATCATGCATCCCTCAAGGTGTCAGTTCTTCGCTTGCCTGTCGGAAATCCAACCTCTTGCGTACATTCCAGAATAGCAGTATGTTCAGCATGCACCGTTTGCTTCTGCGTACTTTGACAGCACATTCATGACATCGACACCGGGCTGCAAGCACCGCCAATCCTCATTTTCTGATGATCTATGAGCAATGGCCATCTCATTGATGGGCAGCTCTTCAGCAAAGGTCGATCGCGATGAACATGTCAGCAGAGCCAGAATAACAATGCCAATGGCCAATGGGAAACAATGCCGAAGAAAAGCAAGCATCATCATCACATCATTCATCATCACATCATCATCATCATCATCATCACGATTACTCCAAACTCCTGCCTGACCGCCTAGAAGCTTCCCAAACGCACTCTTCTCGAAATGAGTATTCGGAACCGGCTCCTCGTCCTGCTCCGCAGCAGGCGTGTTCCTGCTGCTGGCCGAAAGCCCTACTTGGAGGATCATGGGACTTAGTAAGTAAGGTTACAAGTCCTCTAATTGGGGTTATAAGTNNGGGTTTAGGGTTTCGGGTTTCAGGCAGGGGTTTAGGATTTAGGGGGTAGGATGTGAGGTGAATGTTGTTTCAACGGCTTGCATCCAAGCGGCTGGATTCTTCCTCCAACAAAAACTAGCCTAGCTTGACGGACTAGTATGACAGAACGTGGCCTGTTGTTCATCATGGACTGCACAAATCAGTAACTACTGAACCTAGATTAGAGTTGCTCCATGCGTCCGAAGGTACTGCTCAAGCAGCCTTTAGGCTGTCAGTGCTTGGGATCAGCTTCACAGAACCACCAACCTGTCTCTCCTACACCCTGCGCCCCACAACCATAAGTTTCAGCTAGCAGCTAGATCCTGAGCCGTGCACCCACAAATCGAAGCCTGAATCCCGACCGGCCCGTGCAA